CTCCGGCCTCCAGCAACTGGTTCAAAATGTCGGCGTTCCCATTAAAGGCCGCCAAATGCAGGAGCCCAATCCCGTGTTTTCGTCTGATGTTGATTTTGGGGTAGGGTTTCATGTGCCTCGCCAAAAGCATGCAAACAATGCGCTTCCGGTTGTGCATGACCGCAAAGCTCAACGCTGTCTGGTTTTCTAAACTTACTTGAAGGTCATCGGCACCAGCTTCCAACAAAAGTTCAACGACATGTGCGTGGTCATTTTGAGCTGCACACATCAAGGGCGTGTCACCGTTATGGTCTGTGGCTTTGGGGTCCGCCTTCTCTTTGGGAAGATTAAGAAGACTTTCAACAATCGAGGCGTTTCCATCGAGGGAGCTGACGAAAAGCGGAGTTCGCCCATCTTTTCCGGCGATGTTTACAGAAGCTTTATACTTAATTAACTTCTTCACCGAAATTGCCTTCCCTGTTGCCGTGGCAACCAACAAGGCCGTGTGCCCCATTTTGTTGACGTGATCGACATTGGCGCCAGACTTACACAGCGTTTTCAGTGTGTTTACATTTCCATGACCTGCTGCTATTTCCAGGGCGGTCCCTCCGCTTATTTGTGTGGCATTCACCTCAGCCCCTGCCTTCAGGAGAATCTCGGCTATTTCAGAATTGTCGTTCTGCGCGCAAGCCATGAGTGGCGTCCACTGGCGAATATCCTTGGTGTTGACGTTCGCACCCTTTGCTATCAAAAGATTGACTACGCCAATGTCGCCTTCCATTGCAGCCAGAATGAGCGCATCATCCCCGTCCTTATCTTTAACCTTGATGTCTGCGTTTTTGTCGACGAGGTCTCGTACCAGGCTTTCGTGGTTAAACATAATGGCCAAGTGAAGGGCGGTGCAGCCGTTGCAGTCCTGTACGTTGATAAGTGATGGGTTGTTTTTTACGAGAATTTCAACGACGTCCTGGTGGCCTCCGATGGTCGCCACGTGCAGCGCGGTCTGTCTCGAGCTGTTCCTGACATCAGCTTTCGCTCCATTCTCCAGGAATCTCCTCACCAGTTCTTTTCGACCCAGCGCAGCGCACATCATGATAGGCGTGGAGTCGACCCCGGGGAGGAGGTCGTTGATGGGCTTTACGTCCTTCGTCAGTTTCTGGTACAGGTCCTGGTCGCTGAGCAGCGTGTCCTGTATTGGCGGTCGGAGCAGGTTCCTCAAAGCTTGTTTGTGGCGCTTAGCCGTCGTCTTCCGGTTGCCCTTGGAGACAGAGGTCCCCATCTCCCCTTGCATTCTCTGACGGAGATTCTCTTGCATTTTCTTCAACTCTGCAAGCTGCCCATGGCCTCTCAGCATTTGCGGCATATCTTTGCTCAACTCCTCGGCAGCTTCACGGGCCGCGCGTTCAAGCTCGTTCCCCATCCTGTGATGACTTAAGGTCAGAGGTTAGAGGTTAGGCGCTGTCAATCCTGAAAGCCATTTAACAATGGGTTAGCTTTTAACAAGTGTGAAACCAGACGGTGGAAAGCATGTTTACAAGCAAATTACTTGCAATAAAATCACAAAATTACATATGATCCAGAGCTGCAATATAACGAAATAAGATGTTTTATAACGACAGGGTCTGTAATGTAACGATAGGGTATTTAATATAGTTGTAGGGACTGCATATAACGATAGGCTGCGATATAATGGAAGGCGCAGCAATATAACGGAAGTGGCTGCAATATAACAGAAGTGGCTGCTGTATAACGGAAGTGGCGGCAATAGATCGGAAAGAGACAGGAAAGAGCAGGGAAGAGCAGGGAAGAGCAGGGAAGAGCAGGGAAGAGCAGGGAAGAGCAGGGAAGAGCAGGGAAGAGCAGGGAACAAAGCTGCAAATACAAAATTACCGGGTCTGAGGAAAAAATTGTTTAGGTCTAAAGTGAAGGGCATCTTTATAGTGAAGGGCATCTTTATAGTGAAGGGCATCTTTATAGTGAAGGGCATCTTTATAGTGAAAGGCATCTTTATAGTGAAGGGCATCTTTATAGTGAAGGGCATCTTTATAGTGAAGGGCATCTTTATAGTGAAGGGCATCTTTATAGTGAAGGGCATCTTTATAGTGAAGGGCATCTTTATAGTGAAGGGCATCTTTTCGGACATGTTTATATTGAAGGGCATCTTTTCGGACATCTTTATATTGAAGGGCATCTTTTCGGACATCTTTATATTGAAGGGCATCTTTTCGGACATCTTTATATTGAAGGGCATCTTTTCGGACATCTTTATATTGAAGGGCATCTTTTCTGACATCTTTATATTGAAGGGCATCTTTTCGGACATCTAGAGATGGCTTGTTTTTTCCGTAAAAGATGGTGGCAAAAATGTTGACTCCACGCGGTCAGCACTGAACATAAATAATTTATATAACCATATGAACACCCCCCACCCACACACACACACACAGTGCCGTCCAGGGAGGTCACTCCGACCCCTACACTAACACATGTGACAAGTTCATGCTTGAAGCTATCTTTATTTTGCTATTTTGATGAGTATTATAATTTATCTGTTTAATCACAAATAATTACAAAATAAATTCGTATAAATGGTGAATTTATTGAAAGATTAAAAGAGAATGTCTTTATATTTATCGTCTACTGTCAAAGGCCAAACATTGTTATTATTATTGAAAACACTTTTAAAATGAAACTAAAATTATTTTGTGAAAATTTCACTGAAATATGTTATTTAGTTTAGTCTGACTACGTTTGCAGGCACTGAGGGACCAGACTTTCAATATTTGGCCTACATTAAAATTAACACAATTATATTAATGTAAATAATATGATTTTGAAAGATGTCAACAAAAATAGATTTTTAAAAATACTTTTATATATTTGTATTGTACACTATATTTCAGTAATCAGTGTCACGTAGGGGCCCTCGCCACAAGGACAAGGCGGAATTAAATTTAAAACAGAACTTTTGAGTTTGATAGAATTATTTTGACATTTTAATTTTTTCGGGCCCAAAAATTCATTGTAACTATTATTAAAACATTAACTTTCTAAAATCTTACACAGTGATATTGATTTCATATATAAAAATTATGCAGTAGTCAAAATTTCACTGAGTCACTAGGTATTTATCTGAAGTTGTAGAATGATGTGTAATTTTGGGAATTCCCTTTTTGATATTTGTAGAGAAACTATTATTTTTACAAATTTACAATGAAATTAAACAAAATGATATTTCTAACATGAAAAAAAATTTAACAAATTATCTACACATTAATATTTTTAGACACGCAATTTTTTTAAAATGTAGGCCTACTTAATATAATATTAAGTTTTAGTTATGCTTTCTTTGAAAAGTGAAAAGATCGGAAATGCCTTTTGATAAAAATAGTTTCTTCGCTGCGAATATTTCCCACAATGCCTTTATTCTTTAGTATATAGTATATTTATTTCGGCCTACCTGCTTTATATTACAAAGTAAATAAAGAAAAAAATGAAAATCAGTATATGCATAGACCTAAATGGAGATGCATTGAACAAGTTTTACAAACAGAAATGAATTATATGTTAAAAAGCTACAGTAGAATTAGAGAGACAGTAGAATTAGAGTGAAAGTAGCACTGTAGTAGAATTAGAGTGACATCTTAAGTCAAGTAGGTCATCTGGATGACTTTTGTTACAAAAATCAAAAAGGAATCACAATCACATCAACAGTTGGCTCATCTTGACATTTTCCCACTATACTATAGACGATGGGGACATCTAGATCAGCATTTCCGAAACTTGTACGTTTGGTGAACCAGTTGACACGTTTTGAAATAAACCGGTGCCTGATTTATTAATTATATTAAAATCTTTTTATTCAACCATAATTATACAAGTTGTGTTGACAGGCAACGTACAGCTCGCAGACCAGTGTCAGTCCCCAGACCACCATTTGAGAAACACTGGATCTAGATGATCAAGAAAACTTTTTGTTTGCTTATTATATTTCTTTTGATGAACCAAAAATATTTTTTTTATTATGAAGTGCAGCACTTGATGAGGTTTAATTGGTGGAATATCAGTCACCATTGCCACCACTCAGTCTTTCTGCCATCCCCCCAGTGGGTGTGTAGTGAATAATTTTTTTAAACAATCAATCCTTCAAATAAATGCCAGAAACATAGTTTGTAAGTGTTCCTTCATGAGCATTCAACCGGAGGCAGATCAAAATAAAATCTCTGATAAAACACTACTGGGTTTTTAAAATATGTTTGTTGGGTGGGCAGGAGTAGATTTTGGTTTTTTTCTTTTTATTTTAGAAATGTATGTCTATAAACTATAATTACATATGGAACTATAACTAAGTTACATAGGTACCGGTACTGAAAAGGAGTTAAATATTACCATCTTGTTTAATAAGGGCAACAAATAATAATTGGATGTGTGAGCCCTATTTATTACACACAATGTATTTTAATGATTTCAAGAGCATACAATCCCGTGTGATGCCCCAGTACAACATTCAAATTGATTAGGTGATACTTAATAAAGCCCTTTAAATATATTGAGTAAAGATAACAAAAAAAAGTGCAGCCCTTAATGCATTATGGGGGCTATTTTTGTTCATGGATGCTTTTAAGCAAATCTTTTTTCAAGCTTTGTTCTGTTTAAAAAAACAACATAATGCTTTTGAATTTTTGGCCAAATGGGATGAAATTAAAGGTTGTTATGGACGGCCTATGAGCTTCACGGAAACAATATACAGTGTAAAACATAAATATATACGGTAATTAAAAGAGTCCATGGGTTAAACACAGTAGGTAACATGTATTAATTTGTTGCAACTAGCATGGAACTTCTGCTATTATTTTTAAGCTGACATAAGTTACAAACTTCACTTATCCAGACACCCAGCTAGCTTGCTTAAATGAAATACATGTGTTTGAATTTTTAAATATTATATGGATTTTTTTAAAGATTCAAATCTTTTTCTCTAAAAATTCTTGTCTGACAACAAAATACGAACACAGCACACATCTTTGATAAACTCTTGTTTTATTGTGTTTATATTCATAGACAGATACAAGCAATCGGTCTCTAGATTTGTAATCCTTTGTCCACTGACACACAAAACCCAGTCACACAGTCCATAATAAATATCCTATCAAATGAGCAACATGCTGGCAAGTGTACAAAAGTGCACAACTGCTTACATTCATGATTATGAACTTCTTAAGTTTTTCAAATTATACAAGAAACATAAATGTAACTTCAGCACTCCAGTCTAAACATAACAAATAAAATATACCATGGTTCAGTAGTTATTCACAACATATCCTCATTATAAACACTAAGATCTAAGCATCAATTATTTACATGACACACGTGAATATTTTCACTTTATTTGGTTACAACAGTTTTTCAAGAAAAATGATGACTCATTTGTTGATTGGAGGGCTGGTAGTCATGGATGACTGTCAAATAACTGCTGTGTTAATATTGACACAGCAGTTCACTCAGACCTCATCAGACAAGTCAGGGACCAGGTACTCTCTGCTCTCATAGGTCCAGAAGTCATTGAGGTCTATCAATATACTGATCACTGTGTCACCTTTACCACTGCAAGTGGATGGTAAAGAGTGGTCAATATAAATTTGGCCATCATCTTAATAATAATAACATCTTTATTAATCATTCCAAAAAAACAATAAATTTCTGGTAAATAAATTCCTCCAAAGACAAATGTTTCAATTTATGAGGTGCCATATTTATTTAATAGAAAAATTTGTCAACTTTGATGGTCTTAATTGTATGAAATGTGTCAACAACTATTTCATCTTGCACCACAGAATAATTTAATTATAATTGAAACAAATTAGACAAGACAAAAGTGATACACTTTTGTCAGTGTAATTGCAAAATGAAGAAACTTTTATGCTAATATATGAAAGTATGTGAAAAATTTTGTACCATAGAATAAGAAATAAATCGCACATCTCACCTGTTTATAAGATCATTGAGGGTAATTTTAAGAGGGTTTTCGGGTTTGACCATGTCGAAAATCTCATCTTTGACATCTTGAAATTGAATAGGCTCATGTCCATGAATTTTCATCTGTTCTTGAATGGCCTGCAAGAAATAATCACTGAACACTGCAGTTAATCAAGCTTATGAACAAACTTTCATTTGGTTTGACAAATAATAAAGAAGAATTTCAAGTATGACATGCAATGAAACCATTTTTATGGAACACTCAAATATTTATTTATATATACCACAAATATAAGTTTAAGTATATCCAGCAAACTGGGGCTTAAAACTATTTAAATAAATGTGGCAAACTTTAAAAAAACACTTTGACCATTTAAAAATTTCAGAAAAGAATTTGATTAAAAACTTAAATTCTTATATTAACTCATTGCCAGCAATTGGGACTAAATGCATTGGATGTGTCCAAATGCGTCCCGGCAGAGTGGCGATACACCTCTTTCATTTTTAAACTGAAGTTTTTATTTTGTTTCACTTTCAATCTATGTGTGCTTCAGTATGGTACATCTTTACATAGCATGTGTTCATAGAGGTTCCAAGAACAGATTATTTGGTCATTGCTTATTTTTTTTACAGTTAATTTTATGTTTTTTTACAATTAAACCTATTTCATTTCTGGAACCATTTATCCTTAATTCATTAATATTAATTAATACTTAGCAGCTTTAAAAATATTTTAATTTTATAAATGTAAATCAATTGCAAATCTGAGTTACTTCCCCTACTCAGGACTATAAATTAAGTATGGAAGTAGCACTGCCATCAGGAATGAGTTAAATGGATATTATATGGATAAAATGCAAGCTATTGACATGTTTAAATAAAAAAATGTATAAGTTGAATCCTAAAATCAACAGACATTGACTCCTCTTGGCAAATTGAGGGAGTACTGTTCACTATTAGGAGAAGTAAGACAACTTACTTGTGGCAATGGAAATAAACATTTTTCATTATTACCAAAAAGGGCAAGGACTCAATCCAAAACACAACTCAATACCTACCCATGCAATAATTTGCCAGGTAAAGATTGTATCACTTACCCTAAAGAAATAGTTTAGTGAGAAGACATTGAGATAGCCCTGATGTTGGACATCAACTATTCTAAACAGGTATCTTAGTGCCTGTGGTTCTCTACGATTCTCCATGGCAAGCACAAAGTCTAGGTAGGTTTTGTAATCCTAAAAAAACCACAAATATGAACCACTGAAATAGCTAAATACAATACATGACAATCATCTTAAAAAGGAATTTAAGAATTCAATTAAGTTTTTCTCATCATTTCTTAGATATTATACTATTAAGAAATTAACTTTTATGGGTTTAAGTATGGTCTGCTTACCATTTCTCCTTCATAAGTAAGGCATTCTTGGAAAACTCTATCCAAAAATACATCAGTCAAAGTGCCAGTGCCATATCTATTTGTACAAATTGAAAAGAAAAAAAAAATAATACCCTATGAAGTATTTAAGTATAAAGTATTTAAGAAGAACCATTTATTATATGATATTGAATCAAAACTAAACCAAAAACACTGTACTAGTTTAGAAATTTTTACACGGTTCTAACAATGAAGTAATGTTCAACTAAAATAAAACAATAAATTCCTAAATATTAAAAGGTTTAATGATTAATGTGAAATGAAGTGAAACTTGAGCAGTTGTTACAAATTATGACATTGACACTGTGGAAAAAAATATAAGCCAATTAATTTTTGTGTTTAAACACACACTTATATTTCTTTTATTTAGTTATTAATACCATTATTTACTGTTTTCAGAATTTTTTGTAAAAAAAAACCAAGGAAACCTGATTTGTGAATGGTGATAATATTTAAGGCACCAATGGTGTCAAACATGCTCCTTTTACTGACAAAGGTTTCATTGTGAAAGGCAGAATTAAAATGTGTAATTTTTAAAGCCTCTGTGCTGTAAATGTCAACACTTTAAATCCACTTAGCACATACATAAAAACATTCTATCCATATTAAATTTCCCCCTGGTCCAGTGATACATAAGGTTATGATTATGAGTTGGTGAACGCAATAACTTTGTCTGGCTGACAATATTTATTTCAGTAGTTAATTTAAATACAGAAATATGAATTATTTTATCTAAGATACTTTACCAATAAATTATCTATTATTACGTCTAAATCAAATTCGTCATCTAAGTCCATTTTTGACAAAATTACTATTGATCAGTGTAAAAAAACTCAAAATTTGACAAATCGACTTTAAACAAACTATTTTCATTTAAAAGTTGGGATTTATACATTTGGGAAGGATGTAAACATGTTTCCACAGCTAGAGGGAGATTATTCATGAATTTTTCATGTTTCTGTGTTATATAGACGTTGATCGACATGGTGTGGATATTAAGTGTCAATGGTTTTAAGACTTGTTCTAACACTTACCTGGCTAACTCCTCTTTACTGAGCATACCATTTCTGTCTTTGTCTAGGTTCAGGTACTTGCCATAAACCCTGAGAGCTGATGGGGCTGAAAACCAGTTAGATTCTTGCATCTCCTTAGAAAGTTCTTCATCTCTCAACTGTAATATAAAGCAATATAAACTATAACCAAAAAGATTTAACTGTTATAAGCACTGATCCTTATGACAAGGATTTTATCCATTAAATCAAAAACATTTCCCCCAAAGTATCATGTTTCAGTCAATATAAATTATAAAAGGTTATGGCCCTAAAGTCAAAATTAAAGTCTTATAATTAACATCAAATAAAATCAAATTTCCTATTTGTGAGTTATGTTACAAGAAGCAAGCCTTGCACAGAATAGTTTGATTCTTTTAATATAATTAATCTTTACGGCAACACATCTTATTATAAATTGTTAATAACTTGTACAGTAACACCTTTAATATAATTAACTCAAAAATATGACCGATAAATTGTTTCCATTTCCATTAAAACATAAGTGTCGAAATAAAACGTACCTCAAGCAAGTCATCTAAGAAACTGCAAGCCAGAATGTCTTGTATTCGTATCCGACCATTTCTCAAGGGATCAAGAAAGAAGAAAAACTTGCGAACAGCCGTACATACATAGAAGGAATAAAATGATCTTTCTAATCCATTGAGCTTTAGAACAGAAATAAAATGAATTAATAATTCAATCAATATGTGTGTACTATAGGGTGATAAAAACACAGTTAAAAAATGTTAATAGACTGATCATGTCCTCAAGTTGATGAAGATAATAAAAGTGTTGAATAAGTTAATACGTGTGTAAGACATATTACAAATTGAGAAGATTGTTAAAAATATCCAAAATGTACTGAATATTAAACCGTGAAAGCAAACATTGACTTCGGTCCATTTAATTACTGAGATAAAACAAAAAGATTTGAACAGATAAGTTGCAAGCAGATCATGCAAATAATCTAGAAATTTAAAAATGAATATCACAGGCATCTTAACAGTTAATAACAGACAAATAACCACATGTATTCACCTGAGGTAGTGTGGGAATCAACTCGAGGATGTAGTTTTCAAGATCCTGTTAAGAGAAAGATAAAAACTGCAATCATCTTAAACTAAGACAAATCGGCAATAAAAACAATTTCTGTTTTCAATGTTTTATCATACCATCAAAAAATGTATGTCTTAAACGATTTTAAAATATAAAATTAATTTATCGATATTTCTGAAAAAAATTATTTTGATAGGTATTGAAAAGAATTATATTTTTACCGATTCTTTAAGGTAACCCTGTCCTGCCACATCATAGAGAGACAAACCAATACGAGTTTGATGTAACCAGACTTTTCGCATGACATAGTTAAAAAATTTCATAATAGATATACGCCCATAAGGGTCATTCTGTAACAATTTGGAAAATACTGATGCTTGAAAAAATGGTCTGAAAAATATAAACAAAAAGTTGGTGATATCAAAAATAATTCCATACATATTATCAGGGAAAGACATAACTAGAAATAGTTGCCAGCCTATTTTTTCATGTGAAGCATTTTTTTAAAAAGTCCATTTAACACAGACTATGAAATTCATGAAACAAACTTAAAAACTTATCCAGATCCTAGGTAATAATTTTCTGCATGGCCTGTATTTATCTACCCTACACATTGATATTAACTAACAGAAGTTAACACATGTGTAATATACAAAATATGTTTCAGACATTAGGTTTAAAATCTCGTTGACAATATATCAATTTTAGATATTTAAGTCCTTTAAAAAAAGTGCTTCCCTATAAAAATCTATATTTTATATTTAGCTTTCAATGATGTCACCCACAATTCTCTTAGAAATTTGAAAGAAAAGAGTATGCAAAGAGAATGACTCACATTAAAAAAAAAAACATATCCAAGTAATATTAACTTCGTCTTACTTGCACTTGGGCCCGGCCTCATCTTGAACTTTAAGAAAATCTTCATAGTTTATCATCTGTTCATCAACATTCAGAGGATGGGTGTGATGTTTGTCTAACAGGAACCATAATTTCTAAATAAAGATGCATTAGGAAGAATTTTTTAAAAATCAATGATAGAAATATTACAATAAATTTTGTGAATCCATAATGTTAATTAAAAGCTATAATTAATAGTTGACAGGCTTTTTCATTTCATTTTTAAAAAGTTTTCTTAATTTACCTGAAGCTCGTCATTGTCAAGAAGTTCTCTGCTCCTTCTTTGAAGGAATAATGCTCTGTTGAAAAATGGAAAGACAGATCCCATTGCAATTTAAGATACGTTTCAATTTTTCTAAATGGTTAATTTCAAGAAAACTAAGCTTCCAAATAAAAGACATAATAAAGTATGCTGATGAGACATAAACAAATTTATATAATACATATTTCAATAATAATTTGAATATATTACCTTGACTCCTCTCGTAATTTCAGCAACAATGGCTGATCCTCTGAGGGAAGCTGTAATTAGATTATGAATGCTATAAAAATTCACAAAGGCAAGGCACATCGCGCATTTGTTTTATTCCATTAAACAAATATATTAAGCTCAAAAGTTTCCCAACCTTTTATGCGGTCATGATCCCATTAATTAGAGGCAAACATCCAGCGATTCTCATTTATTTAAAACATCACATTTCATAATAGGGTGAAAGAAAATAAATCGAAAGTATTATAATTTTAGTATAACATAATTCAATTTAATGTTAACTTATATAACAATTAATGCAATGTTTGAAATTGTAACTCATTAACGAGCTTCTAAATTTGTAGTTCATTTTTTTGTTAACGCCAAGTTTATGTCACTCTCCACATTTTAACTGTTTGGTTTTCAAGTGTAGAAAAGTTGAAAATCTCTAACAAAGTTATGGAGCTCTAACAAAGTTATGGAGAAGCAAATCAGTCAATAATGTCACTAAGGGAGTGAAGTCCCATGACATATGACCGCTGATTTTTCAACTGAGAAATACTTTAGATGTCTTGTTATTGTTATTAAAATTGTTATATTTTTTAAATGTTTGTCTTTGTACGAAAATTTATAAGTGAACTGAAAAATGAATATTATAATCAAAAACATTTCCATTAATTTGGAGCATTAAAAAAATTGTATATTATCTTTAAGAAAATTAAACTTATCATACCTTTGAATATAGGGTTGGAACATTTCGATGATCTCCCTCATTCCCTTTATATTTTTTGTAAAGGTTAGTGAATATTTCCAGTTCTTCTTCCTGTGAAGATTTGATTACCGGTACTGAATAAAAAAAAATTAAAACAAGCAAATTACTAATACCCAGTAGAACATTTCAATAAATGGTAGTATTTTGTTACAGAAAGACAGTATTTGAATAATAAAAATAATAGTGCTGTACTGTAAATAATGAAATACATTCTTTTTTAAATCAAATAAAAATTTAATATAATATAATAGTTCATTGTGTGTTGTCAGTATTGAATTTGCAATGCTAAAACTAAAATATGATTTTAACCTAGTCTAGTGACACTAGTAATATATTACCACAGGTTCCAATGTTAAAAAATTTAATTAGGTAAATTCTTATAGGACTTAAATCTACCGGACTTTACTAATCGTGTCATATCAAAACGGCCAGTAACAAATTGGTCTCCCCTCAAAAGGACCACATAGCACTGGGGGTGGTGGAATTAAAGTTAAAGCCATCACTCTTCCTGGGTATCCCGAAATTTGTTTGAAAGAATTTTCGTGGTTGGAAAATTGATAGAAGGAAATATGATCCAAAGGAAGTTTGGTTGAATCTTTTTTTTCAGTTCACTAATTTTAGTATTAGCAAAAGACGTAAATGATTTAGTTAGAGTTAGAGCCTAAATCTAGGCCCTGGGAAAGTTTTGAATTTTAATAGTAATAGAATAGAATATAGATTACTCAGCATACTCAGTACAGAGTACAGTGCAGACTTGTGAATGATTTATTGAACTGACTTACACTTAATTAAGACAAACTTAATTTATTCTTATTCATTCTGCAAAACTCGACGAGTTAGTTTTAGGTCCAAAAGTCAAAATATCTTTACCTTTTTTCTTTTTCAGGTTTTCCCTAAGTATTTTTGACCATGATGTATTGTGCATTTTTATAATAAATTAAATGCTTTCAATAATAAAACTGCTGGAATATATCAATATTTAATTTACATATTGTGACCGCCATCTTGAATTTTTGCTTCCCGGCTTAGTTGCTATTGGCTAAGCACAAAAAAGCGACATCTATTTAAATAAGGGGAAATAAAATGATAACAGACTGCGAGTCATAACATGCCAGTAAATTCACGTAATCTCCCTTGGATTCCCTCCGTCACCATGCATGTCTAAACTTGTGATTAATCCATGCAAAACTGAATTGGAGTTTAATTTTCTTATTCCAAATTATTAATTACAATTTTTTTTAACAAATGGCATATTATTTCTAATATGTAACACCCCAATTAACTTATTTTCAGGGCATTTTATATTTTAACAAAGATTTTCCCAAACTGAACCTGAACCTGAAAGAACTGAGAGTTATGACATAGTCTGATAGTACGAACGGAAGACGATTTCTATGACAAATGTTTATATATATATTTTTTTTAATTCGTCATTAATATAATTTCATTAATATTATTTTTCTAATTTCAACAGTTTCTTTTTGCAATTCAATTATAGGCTTAAATACAAGAAAATTTTTAATTTTCTAAGCATACTCAGTACAGAGTTAATTTTGTTGCGGATTCCAGACTTAGTTGATTATTCGTAGAGGCAATGGGTGCAGAATAAAGAAAATGTGCATCACATTTTTACCTACCGGGCCCCTTTTTCCTACGCCACGGGATCTTATGTTGTTAAAATCAATCCCATAAAACTATTTTTAAAAAGCATTTTGCCCAATGTATATAACATAACTTTATATGTAACAAACAAAAGTGCAAGGATGTTTCAGCAGATGGACTTGAAAAAAAGTTAATACTGTCTGTGACAAGTGTAACAGTACTGAAACTCCAACAAAAGGTAACTGTAACGAAACTCCCGCCAAAAGTAACAGTACTGAAACTCCCGCCAAAAGTAACAGTACTGAAACTCCTACCAAAAGTAACAGTACTAAAATTACCACTATCTATCGCACATATTCTGGTGAAGGTCTGAGATTACTCTCTTATGACCCCAGCTAGTAAATTGGCTATCAACTCCATCTGTTGAGCTGAGCCATACAACATTTCCCTCACAAAGGATCCTCCAACCGCCCTGGCTTCCCCCGGGAGATCTAGTGTGGGACATTCAGTCAACAGATGTTCTAGGGTCTCTGGGGCCAGGCTGCAATGCCGGCAGGTAGGATCTCTGTTGTTGTCCAACCTCCAGAAATATGTGCGCAAGGGGCAGTGCTCGGTGCGCATCTGCGTCACTAGACTCTGCGATCTACGACCTAACCCCCACCATGGGTCTTGTTTGCTAGGAGTAGGCAAGTTCGAATAGACGCCTCTGGCGGTCGTGTTGTCAGCCCATTGCCTGTACCACTTCTGCCTGAAGTGGTCCGCCAGCCAGTTTTTGACTCCCAAGAAAGTCATTGGTACTTCTGGCTGAGGCTGGGCAGCCCCGGTTTTCGCCAGAGTGTCAGCTATCTCATTGCCACTGGTGTTGACATGCCCTGGTATCCATTGTATTTCGACCTTGCACCCTATTTCACCAAGTCTGCATATGTCGTTGTGAATGACATCGACCAAGTGAGTGGTACCCTGTCTCTTCTCCAAGATCTCAAGAGCAGATCTTGAGTCTGAGAAGACAACAATATCAAGCCCCGCATGTTCCGTCCCATCCAGAGTAATATGGACTCTCTCCAGGGCCATGTGTATAGCTATGAGCTCCGCGTCAAAGTTTGACGCTGTAGTCCCACAAGGCCCCGAGAGTTTTTCATTAGGTGGTCCACCTACTGGGTACTGAATAAGCGCACCGTACCCAGCAGTTCTTTTCTTAAGATCGGCAGAGATGTCCGTGAACACTTTCACAGGTATGTGCGCAAACATATCCATGGTCTCAAGGGCAGCCACTCTCTGTACATGTTCAGGGCTGCGTTTCGTCACTGCTGCATCTGTCAAGGCCAAATGTATGGAGGGACGTGAGGGTTCCGCATAAGGCGGATTAACTGGGATTTGGGTCAGACGTTCTCTATTTGGGGGCAGGGGGACTGTCCTTTCCAGCTCCACGACCTGGTGCATGAAAGAGGACCTCTTTAGTCTCCTGCCGCCCACCCAGTTATTCTGCATTTGAAAGGCTGGTTCGTTTTCACCAAGCCGTCGGTATTTAAAATGGACTTTTCCCTCATAATTTGTAGCGGTTCTACATTGGCCAAGACTTCTACAGCAGCTGTGGGAGTAGTCCTGTATGCGCCACAGATGAATCTCAGAGCCTGATGCTGGATTCGGCCCAGCTTTTCCAGTGCGGTCTTGCTTGCAAAGGATTGGACCGGCATGCTGTAATCCATCACCGACCTTACACTGCTTAGAAAAAGAGCTCTAAGCGTACTTGCGCTCGCGCCCCAACTTGTGCAAGCCAATTTTTTCACAAGGTTGAGCTTGGCGGTCGCCTGGGAGCAAAGGTCCTGTACAAAATTGTGCATTTGTACCTTTTGGTCCAACTTAACTCCCAGGTAGACCGGTTGCTTGTCCCACTTGAGCGCTACATCGCCCACCTTGAGCTCGATCTCCTGTTTGAGAATGATCCGCCCATTTGTGAATAGTGAATAGACCGTCTTCTCGGTGTTGATTTCCTTATGCCACCGCCGCATGTACCTGTTGATAGCAGATAGTTCCTGCTGTAATAGCGTTTGCAGGCGGTGGACATCCTTACCGGTGCTCCAGATTACCAAATCGTCCACATTCATGGCAGAGCTAGTCGTTTGCACCTGTGGCAGGTCATTGATGTATGCAAGGAAGAGGGTGCAACTGAGGGCAGACCCCTGCGGGAGTCCCTCCTCAAGTGTCCTCTTCCTGGAGGTTTCACCACCGAATTTCGTGTTTATCGTCCGGTTTGTGAGGAAACCGGAGATCCACCTGTACATGTTCGCGGTTACTCCCAACTTCTGCAACTTCAACAATAGACCGGACCTCCAAACTCGGTCATAGGCTTGTTTGAGGTCAAAAAATACTGCCACTGTATGGGATTTCTTTTGGAGCCCATCTGTTATGGACTGGAGAAGACGGAGCACTTGGTCCACAGGCTGCATTCCCTTGCGGAAGCCCGCCTGTATTGGGCTGAGACTCTTAGTGCTCTCCAAGTGCCAGTAGAGTCTCTGGTTGACCATTCTCTCGGCTACCTTCCCTAACATC